TGGTTAGAGATATGTCGGACTGGTCCGCACAGATGGCTGGGTTTCCCCTCTCCTCTTTGGATCCCCTTCTCCTTCAATCTAAATAGAGTGTGGGAACCGCTATCCACCATAATATTCTTCCTCAAAATTTCCCTTACAGCGGTTAGGACGGTTGGTGGTCCAGTGTCAAATTCCCTCCCACTTTTGCTTCTCCAGTTACCCCCGTGAGGCCCGGACAGAAGATCAAGTCCACTCTTTCCAGGCTATTCTCCCTGATCGTAACCTTCCAGTCCGCATACAGCATCCCTTTCTCTGTACCTTCTGTAGTGTGGTCATAGAGTCAGTAATGATTACTGCTCGCTGATGGCTTGTGTTCTTGATCCAGTGTAGAGCCTTACTTATGGCTTTTATCTCCATATACATACTTGATGTTGTCAGTGCAGTTGCTCCACTTTGTGCTTTCACTACTACCCCATCAACTCTGACACTGAAGGCCCAGCCCGATTTGACTCCTCCGTTGACTGATCCATCCGTGAAGATCACAGCATCTCCATGTTCGCTATGCTCTTCTATCAGGGTTTCAATTTCAGCGTTTGTAGCTCCAAGTGGCCATTTGCGACATTCTCTACCCAATGTAGCCTTCACTGTTGTGTACTCTCTGAGCGCATCTTGGACCACGACCCAATCCCTGCCTCTCCTGATGTCTTGTACCTGGCAGCACTCATTGATGGTGTTCGTGGCTTGAGTCATCGATTCTGTGCCCCTCTTTAGCCTTGATGTCATCTGCCGTCTCCCTTTCTTATGAAAAAGCATTCCTCATGCTACTGTGATTGGTCTTCAAGGTTGACCATTCTTTGCTCGCCATAAGTTATAAACCCATTCAGGGGTTACATCAGTTCAGTTAGAGTAAAAGGAGACCATTCTACCGATTGTGGGCTACATGGGTTACTGTCAAGGAGGTTACAGTTTTAAGCTCCTTGGTCCCTGTAGATTCTTCCCTTAATGCGTCGGCTAAGATCCTGTTCGTCTAAGATCCTGCATTTTCCTTGCTCCCGAGCACCGGAATCTTCATGCGGAGACTAGCCCGCTGTGCTTTGTCGAAGTGCCTGGGCTAGCGGGGAGGGAGGGGGGGGGGATTAGTGATCTGGACCGTTGGTTTGTTGTTTCACCCTAACTATTCTATGATGAATGTCATACATAATGATAAAAGGAGTACACATCTTAGTGGTATCACAATCGCCATTCTATGTAGGTAGAATCTAAACCTGGATTCAAAAGACAGACTGCTTGTTGTGCAATTTTTATTTTCGTTTTTATTATGATTAAAATTTTGTTGTTGCTTTTTTAGGGTGGGGCCTATTTGGTGTGGGGGTTGTTGTTTTTTTGTCGGGGGTGGGGGGGGTTGTCGTTGCTGTTGTTGTAGCAGTTGTTTTTACCTAGCTTATTGTTTGTTTGTCGTTGTGTGTGTGGAGGGGAAGGGAGCTCTATGAACACAAAGATACTGACAATAATATCTTTCCCTGTGTACACCAGTCACCAGAACCTGCATCAAACTGTATTGCTTACCTGGTGAGCGTGTGTACACTTTCTGGGGTATTTTTGTTTTGTTTGAGTAGTTGCTGTAGTTTGTTTGTTTTTTTTTCTCCTATTTGTTAGTTTGTCTTTGTGAGTGTGTGTGTGTGTTCTTTTTGTGTGTGTGTGGGAGGGGGGGGGGGGGTAATTTTAATTATATAGACTTCTTTTTTTTTACACGAGCTCTGATAGCACGAAGGTACTGACAACATCTTTCCGGTAGCTGCGTTAACCAGAACATGCATCAAATCATCAAACTGTATTGTTCACCTGGTGTGCGTGATCGAGTATACTTCCCGCCCTACTAAGTTACTCCTCTAAGTTTACAGTCCAACAAATTATTTAGGCTTTCTGTTTGTGCTTTCTGTCTACATAACTGTTTGTCTTTGTCCAGCTATGGTAGATTTTTCAATAATAATAATAATAATAGATAGCATTTGTTTAGCGCATAACCCCGCTCGAAAGCAAGCTCTAAGCGCTTTACACTATATTATTACCCCAGCAGACCAAAGAACACTCAGAAACATTCTCAGCTTCCTGGGAAGCATACAGTGCAAGCAGCTGATTAAGCGCTCAAACACTAACAAACTCACAAGATCTTTCACTGTCTATAGCTGGGTACCCATTCCCACCTGTGTGAAGTGAGGAAAATTCGTGTAAAGTGCCTTTCCCAAGGACACAACGTCGGGTCCCTGACAGGATTCGAACCCACGACCATACGGTTGCGAGTCCGAGAGCCTAACCACTAGGCCACCCAATTATACCTGTACTTTTTGTGTCTTCTCAAAAACTCTTCATCAGCCATAAATTTAACTTCATTACTCTCGTGGTGTCGATATGGTTGCTTATATCATAATCTGCTTACTTTACTTTTTACTTTGCCCTCTTATACCGCAAGGAGCCGTGGGGAGATGCAATTGTCGGACATGGACCTGGTGTGTTGCTGTTTGGATCGTCAATATTATGTTGCTCTTTGGGTGCGCGGGGGGTGGGGGGGAGGGGGGGCCTCGTCGACTCCGTCGCTCCATCTTTTTCTTGGCATGGACGGTCAGTACTATATCTACAGCGCCGTAAAACAATACCACGTCATTCCAATGACCACGAGCTTTATGTAA